CCCCCCCGGCACCGAAAAACACACCTCCACCGGATCCAAACAAGACCAAAACCGAACCCCCATTCTAGAACGCGCACCGAGCAGACCCCAACACAACAAATCCCACTTTACCCCATCCCATCAAATAGCATACAGTATTCAAACCCTTTGTCCAGAAAAATAACTACCAACAAAAGGATCAAACCACCCATGCCATAGAAAAGCCAAGTATGAAATAAAACTAAGAAATAGACATGAGGTCAATATTAACTCAAATCATACTGCCAGGTGTTATACACTAATCCGGTTAGGTGCAGTTTTTGTGACCGGAAGTTTACCTTACCTTACCTTAATTTAGAAGATTGGGCCCCGCGGTTACATGCTTACTACATAGTATTCCGTACGGAGGTCGGAGTATCTATGAATTATTTGCGAGGTATTGGTATCGCGGACATGAAGTTGTGTTTATAGCCGGGATGGGTATGAGTTTGATTTTCCTGGTTTGCTAAAGGGGATTTGTTTGTTTAGGTCGAGTTGTATGTGGTCATTTAGGTGGTCAATGTCATATCTTATGATCGGACAAGACAGAAGGGAGCCTGGGGCAGGGGTCCCCTACGCAAAGCTGGGATATGCGACCCTTATTTTCTTTTTCTTGAACTGGGTGGCGGAATTGAGGGCGGGTCGGCAGAGCGGGAAGCGGTCAGGGGAATAAGCGAATCACCTACTCTGTACTAGTACACTATCACTACTACTAGCATAGTACGGCTGCATTGGTATAAATGGCGTTTGTAGCGGATATTGGTCCAGAGGTGGTACCCTGTAATTATGGTGAGCTGGGCCAATGTCTCGGTTCGCTGGTCTGGCCGGAATTCTGCATCCATACGGCTAAAAATAGATGGTGGAAAGGTCACTGCGGCTGATTGCTACTTTGCTAGACTACATCTTTTAATACACAATGCAAGAGCGCTGATGGAGCCGCCATCACAGTTAATCATGTCTTGCCACCAATGATAGGCCGTGGATAGTGAGAATCTCGCCTCTGCCGGTAGAACGCCCCAATGTATGGCTTTTGTCATGGTCGTTGAATCATCATAAAACACGTCCATCCGTTGTGGATGTTCAAACAGGGGAAGGTTGGTAACGGAGCGGTACCACCCAGCGGTTCCCAAAGTCAATCCCATGTCGCCGCCGGCTGCCATATTTTCTCCACACTATCTGAGGAATTCCAATGTCCGCCACCGAGAGATTCCATGAAAGTCCCTCACCGGAAAGCAGCGCATTGACTACCCCTGTTTTCGGGGCCCCGAGACAAACCACCGATTTGGAGCTGACGCACAGCCGACCACCTTCCACCGTAGTGACTTCGCCTATGAGTGTATGTTAGCACCAAGGTTGGACGATGGGATCACGTGCTCGGAAACTGACCACTGATAGCAGACAACCCCGAAGGCACGTCAACAGACAGAATCTCGAGGTTGCTTCGATTGGCCCACGAGATCATCTCAAACGCAGTCGCTTGGTCATCCGTGCGGAGATCATCGAAAGCTATATGGATACCGAACAACGCATCGACAACCAAGTCGGGCGCAAACTCGGATGTCGAAAGCCGGGTCGATAGGTCCTCCCATCTATGGACTCGTCCGCCGATCTTCTTGAACACTTCAAGCTGCTTACGACAACTCTCTAGTAACTCATTCTCATGCTCGATGCCTAGCATACACACAGTCACACGGTGGCCCCGATTGCGGAGATGACGGGCCGCAGAGACGGCCCGTGCCCCGGTTCGGTGATTACCCGTAAGCACCAGCATCGTGGGTGCAGCTGCATCGCTCGAAAGAAGACCAACAGCAGCTTCTGCAATACCGCGCCCCGTATTTTCCGTGATCATATCCTCGGTCAGGCCCAGTTCGGCCACGGCTATCTGCTCAACCTCAAGGGCCTGCAGTGGACTCACAGTTGGACAGCTTCGATTGGTGGTAGTGAGCCGCAAGGAGGCTCCTGGTGCACCGGGACCACTGATCGGGGATGCGGAAACGGACGACTTATTGGGCCGAGGGCTGGTGGTGCGAGAAGTGCTAAGTTGACTGCGTCCCAGAGAATTTATCTGCGGTGGTACCAACGGCTGGCCCAAAATGGCGCTTCCCTTACGGGAACTGGGTGCCCTGGACGCTCGGGACCGCTCGCGGCCAGAATAGGTACCGCTACTTAGCTTTGCATCGCTGGGTACTTGGTCAGTATCCTCGCTCTCACTCTCCGGGCTATCGAGAACGTTTTCTGTCCAGTGCAAATTTTTACCACCGTTTGTTCCAGGCTTGGGGGGCTTTCTGTTGAAGCTGACCAACCGATCCTCATCAGCAGTAGTGTCATCGTTGCGAATTTCTTCGAACACCTTTCTTTTGTCGAATTTAGAGAGATTACTCTGAAAATCGAAGTCCCCCATCTCCTGGATATCCGTGGCATCTTCCGTTGCCCAACCATTCGGGTCCTCCACATATCCTGTTTTGTTCTTCTTCTTCCGACGCTGTTTATTGAGCGACCGGTTCAAGTGCAGATAAGAAGGTTCGACGAAAGCAGTTTGGCGCCAGCCCTTGCTTTTGGGGTCCGTATTCGTTGCGCCATCATGCTCATTGACTGGTTTAGGGGTCCTTGTTTGGCCAGTGCGACGATTGGCCTTCGGGCCAGTTTGAGGACTTGGTTGCGACGAGTTCACATTCTCCCTTCCACCGGGGACGGGACCAGATTGACCCGCCTTGCGATTCTCCTCTGTGTTTCTCCCAACGTCGAGCTCCAGGTTACTAAAAGGTTCGTTAAGTACAGCAGCCTGGTCACGATGAGCGAGGTGCGGGAATTGAATGTTTTGCGAGGTAGACTCGCTGATGGACGCAGCTGGAAGTTGTGCGGATCCCTCCGTACCCTGACCAGATGGTGCAGAGGGTGGCTTTGAAAAGCTTAGGATCGCTGGGTCCACGAAAGACTGGGACGCAGGGCGCACTGCAGGAGCGGAGGCTGTGCTCTGGGTTCCATGAAGCGGGGGTGGATGCTGTGTGATGGGCTGAGTCAATGGTCCAAGAGAGAGATCGGCAATATCGGGAGCTTCGATGGAATACGTAGGGAGTTGGTGGCCGAGCCAGGAAAGTGTCACTAGAGGGAAACTCGGCTTAGCGCGACGTAACAAGCAAGATGATGTCAAAGCATACAGGAACAGATTATACCTACCATTTCGAAGCATTAGACGTTGGCCGATGACATTAGCGACTTGTCCCTGCACCGTCGCGTTCGGTGGCGCTCGCAGGGTCACAAGCACATTATAGCCAATAAATTCAGACGCCATGGCCAGCTATTTGCGGTACGTGTTGACCGGCTGTCCACAGGTCCGGGGAATAATCCTGCCACGGACCAGATAAAAACCCCGACGGCATCGCAAGAACGTGGTGGATGGTCAGCTTGCTCTGGCAGCTTTCGGCAGCCGGGATCACGTGCGGGTGGTTCTTATCGATAAGCAGCGACCCGCCAGGTGGACCCCACGCTTCTTCCTCCATAGTACTATCAACTACTCCGATCCGAACCATAGCAAGCTGCTACAATGAGTACTGACCTCTTCGACCTCGCTCGAGCGAGAGGCAGGCTCGGGAGATCTGTCTATTAATGCCGACTTGATCTCCAATACTTCGCCTACATACTGAATTGTGCCTGCGAAGTCCAATAAAACCCCCACCATTGGCAAGCATCAATTCAAGGCCTGCTGTTCAGCACGTTGGCAGGGATATGCGGGCAATAGGGCTGATGGAGTACCTGAAGTAAATGTCCAGCCGGACCACACATGAGACTCCTTCAGCGTGAATCACAACAGAATGTTCTGGATTTGAGTGTTTCTTAGAATCTCTCAGGGTGCTTTGACTTCTGGTGAGTCCGGCTTTCTGGCTTGCGGCTATATTTCCCCTCTCTAGAAAAGCTCAGATTTCGTATCCGCCGACGCCATCCCTTGCTTGTATTGTTTCTTAAATTCATTTCACTAATTCCTCCTTCTGAAGCGCATTTGGGTGTATAATATATCTATCAGAATTATCGATCTTGACACATGGTTGGACCAAAGCCCCTGAATCTTAGGAGACTTTCATTGCTAAAGCGCCCGCCTGCTCTATGATCAGCCACGTTGGCTTACACCCCCGAAATTGCTGGCGCCAAATCCGGAACAAGACTAAACTCATCGTTGAACCATACGCGGTAGCCTAGGACGGTTGCTTCAATAAGACGTCTCTAGAATTTTTCCGGAAATTCCGCAAAATCCACACGAGCTCCCTGGATCGCCCTGCCCCCCTCGTGGGAAGGTGCTGTGAGTCTACCAAGTGTATCTGTTTGGGGGAAAGCTGCCCCGCTTTCTCGCAGCTGGCGCATCTGGGCCGGCTGATTGAAATGTGATGATAAGACGGGGGTCGAAGGGGGCCCAGACCACGCTGAACATCTGCCGACCGGTGCTTGTTGCCACGGTGAGTTCTTCCTCTTCTCTCCGAGATATAGCCAATATCTGGTCTTATCCGGTGTTCTAACCCTTCTAGTCAGTATCCTTATCGTCCCCGATTCCTGATTTCCAGCCATTGAACCCACACCAGCCATATGGATGCCACAGCCCAATATCTACAGCGCTATGAACACAGCCTAATACAACCCCGCCTCAATGAAGATGAATAAGTGGCCGATTAAAGTTCGTAACTATCGCTGGTGTGGCTATGTCAACACATCATTAAGCTTTAGAGCGGCCACAATACTCGCCGGCCGATGTGACACGTCTTATTTGATATGAGCACCCCCGGCTAGGCAAAAATATCATTGAGCTGGGACTTAAGCCGATGGTATAGTTACAGGTAGTTACGGGGAACCTGAGAGTCTGTCTTAACCCAGAGTTCAGCTTTACCGACTAGAGGGCCAATAAAGGGCTGTTTCCACCTGGGACTGCACAAGACGAACGTGATCTTTGATAGGCTCAAGATCTTGAAACAATCCAAGAGGTCGCTTAACTTTGGATCCCATCTGGTGAGTGCCGTTCTAGACGTTGCAAGATTGATGACGGTTGCTTGGGCTAGCTCAGAAAAACCGCACCGGACGAAGCGGGAGTCATATCTCAATCATAACACCAAATTGAGATACCTTTCCCAAATATCAGCTTCAATCATACACAATTACAGTCTACCGTCTGTCACTCGTGCACATGAGGTCTCCGGTTATGCTTACTGGTGTGCACCATACATTAACATCCACTGGTGGTTAGAGTGTAGCGCGGGTTTCGCCCGCGTTGAACATCAGAGGTCCCGGCCAAATGCTGTCCTGAAACATGACAATCTATTTTGGATTCAAGACACTGTTTTCAGGTTCTAGACGAAGCCTTCAGGGTTCTATTTCGATTTTCTTTTGTCAATCATCACCCAGGACCCGGGAGTCTGACCGAGACATGGCTGAGCCCAGGCCAAAAGGCAGCTTGAAACAGTGCACTATTCTGGGAGAGTCTGCTAGAATGATAATGTGTATATAGTCAGGGGGCTCCTGAGCCGAAATGGCAAACATCAGTACTCCAGCAAATCTGGAAAGTTCAGCACAAGTGGTCACCCAATGGCCCATACATTGTCCTCCCCCGGCAACCAAGCCATGCAAAACAGACCCGCCGTCAACGAGTCCAGCCCCAGCGCCAATGATCCCCAGCCCAGGGCCAATACTCCCCAGTCCAGCGCCAATGCTCCCCAGCCAAGCACCAATGATCCCCAGCCTAGCACCAGTTCCTTCCATCCCGAAAGACTGGGTATAGCCCGCCCCGACGCAGCAGAAGAAACTCCAACAAAGCTAGAACACCTTTGGTTCTATGCTTATCGGGAGTTACGAAAGGGAAGCGAAGACCTTGTTCGCTCTTATGAGGACAAGTTGCTTGATGGCTTGGCAAGGCCAGAGGACCAACAAATGCTAGAGTCTGGGCAGATACAGGAGCTGTTGGAAAAGATAGTGCCTGAGACGATGGAACAAAAGGGGGGTGCTGTCAAGAAAATAGTGAGCACGATTCTGGACAACAAAGACTCTGTGACCCAAGGAGTGGCTGGAAGGCCCTATGCTCAGCTGGCTTGGGGGGGAGTTCTGGCCTTACTCATGGTAGGTATCATCCAGCGAAGATATAAGCTAACTGGAATTGCAGGCCACAACACGAGCGTTTGAAGAGCCGCAGCATGCCATCGAGGGCCTTGAGATGATAACAGACATCCTTATCCGGCATCAGATTGAACAAATCAACTTCAAGAGCTTGTATGAGCCCGCAAGCTCGGAAGAGTATGTCCCCGGAAGCCATCATTCTTTTGTTGTACTAGCTCACACTGTATGAACAGTGAAAATGCTATCAAGTGTTCCAGATCCTTGATGGGTAGCACCGTCAAGCTTTACTCTCGGATACTGGAATATCAAATACGGCTTGCGGAGCAATGCTATAATAACCGTGCTATAGCCACCATCCGCAATGTATTTCAGCTTGATAGCTGGGGTGACATGACGAAGAAGCTCCAGAGCCTTGATAAGCGCATCATAGATGAGCTAAGAACCCAAAAGGAAGCGCGTGAGCAGGTAAGAAATTTGCCAGGCAGGTAGTCCAGATGCTAACATCTGTCCTTGGCGAATAAGATAGAACGACGGATTCAAGAATTGCATCCAACGACTCGTGCAACCTGGGCCCGCATTAAAGAGAAGCCGATCTGTCATGAAGGAACCCAGAGAGAAATCCGAGATGCCATACACAGATGGAGCGAGGACTCAGAAGGGAAGTCGATTCTATGGCTGAGTGGATTACCTGGAACAGGTAAATCTACAGTTTTGAGGACAATCGCCGCCGAGCTTTCACATCGGGATTTCAACAGCCCGCGTCTAGGCGCTAGCTTCTTTTTTAATAAGAACGACTTAGTGGGTAGTAACATTCGGAATCTTTTTCCAACACTCGCCTGCGATTTAGTGGAAACCGTCCCCGGTTTCGGTGCCGCGGTGTCTCAAGCTATTGGAATGAAAAGAAATATCCAGGACCGGTCCATAGAGGATCAGTGGCGGTGCTTCATCCAGGATCCTCTATTGACGTTGAAGGGCACATTCCATAGCCAGATCATCGTCGTACTTGACGCAATTGATGAGATTGTGATCGAAGATGGAACAGTCGGACATCTTCTGCAGCGCCTAAGCGAGACCGAACGACTGAAATTCCTCATCTCGTGTCGTTCCGAAAGCCCCGTACCCTTTCAAGGGCTAGGGGCTATGGTTCAGGAAAGGAAGCTCGGAAAAATAATCGTCGACAACACCGATGAGAACGATATAACTTGTTTCCTGACGCATGAGTTAGCACAAATTTCGGAGAAATTTCCCGACCTCCCACCGGAGCTTCTCGGACAGGAGACCGTTAGAGAGCTTGCAATACAGACGGAGGGTCTGTTCTTTTATGCAGATTCAATTTGCCGGCTTTTGAAGACGGCGGATAGGGGGTCGCAGATACGTCGTCGCCTTGAGCAGCTTACGGCCAATAAACCAACCCATCGACCCTTGCGGGACATGGATAAGCTATATACGGAAATTCTCGACCGTATACTTACCATGGAGCCAGAACATGACGAGGAAATAGTCCCGTTATTCCAAAAGGTGGTAGGGGCAATGGTTGTGCTGAGACAGCCGCTCTCGGTCCCGTCTCTCGGCAAGCTGATCGCTGCTTCCGACGATGATAGCGACTATATCCTCGCGAAGATATGCTCATTGATTGACATATGTGTGCCGGGATGTCCGCCGTCATTTATTCACCTCTCATTCAAGGACTACGTCCTTGATGGATCCCGGTGCCCGAATCGTCTCTTTCACATCACGAAGGAAAGACGACATGCTGAGCTCTTCCGCGGCTGCATAAAAGTAATGAAAGAGTCCCTTCATCGTGAGATCCGTAACCTTCACGACCATCGCTCCACGGTTGATGCGGAATCTTCTCGGGAACAGCTGCCACAATACGTACGCTACGCGTGCATGTTTTGGGTGGAGCATCTGTCCCTAAGCGGGTTGCCCCCCAAGCAAGAAAGCTATGAGGTTGAGGTGTTTGTGAAACGGCACTTTTTGCAGTGGCTCGAGTTCATGGCTTGGCTCAAGATGATCCCTGACGCAGACGTCGCTCTTGTGAAACTTTATCGAGTAAGATGCACATGCTGTCTCTTGGTGACCTTTACTAATGTGAACAGATGAGGATGGGTGATTCTCTGAGGAGCTTCCTTAAGGACGCATGGACCTATATACAGGAGTTCAGGGGGATTATCGAGAAGTTCCCCCTGCAGATTTATGTCCCTGCTCTCATCTTCTGCTCAGAAGAATCATGCATCCGCAATATATTTGAACGTGAGATCCTCCGAGAAATGCGACTCATTGATTCCGGGGGTATGAGTATATTTGGTCGCGAGATCTCGTTTCGAGGGGATCAGAAACCTATCGAATTCCAAATTTCGCCCGATGGCCAACCTTTAGTGGTAGTCCTAAAGCGGCTAACAGATCCTAAATCGGCAAAGGAGATCACCATTTGGGATACAACAACATGGGTATCTGAGACTCTGCATGTCGACGTACTGAGGTTCCAAATCTCGCCGAGCAGCAGGCATTTGTTAGTCCTCAGTCAATCCGGAAAAGTCTTCTTGTCCGATCTCCATTCTCGCCCCTCTCACACTCCTCTTCCCATGGGAGAGTTGCAAAGCATCTCGGGAAAAGTGACCGATATCGCATTCTTCGAAAGCGGGGCCAGATTCGCATGTGCAGTCAACAAGGAGGTCCTAATCCTGAGCGCTACCACAGGCCATGATTCCCAGAGCTTTCGAGTCCCGGAAGTGTCATCATTGAACGGACTTTCTGTTGCAGCAGATGGAAGCAGGGTTGCAAGGTTATCCCACGTGGACGGACGGATGGAAACCATCCATTCAAGGGACGAATCCGTACAGAGTTCGGACATCACCTTCGAGACCCTCGTTCGTCCGCAAGATTGCCAAGTCGTGTTCCCTGATGACGACAAGCCTTCTTCGCTGCCAGTCATCAAGGCAGGCATTGGAAAAGATGGGCCGCCCTCTTTCTTGATACAGACTCCCGACCATCTAGGTGTGGTGGTTGCCAATGACCAGAAGATGACGGTCTGGAGAAAATCTCCGAAGACGGGAGCAAGTGTCCCGATTGCTGGATGCCCGACCTTGAGTTCAGATGAGACTGTCCTGTCATGCTTTACCCAAGAAGTCATCCAGGTGTTCAAACCAGGGACATGGGAGATATGGGAACTGAATAGAGAGAGTTGCAGTTCACCGGGAACTGTATAAGCACGTATCGGGGGGTTGCCAAGCGGAAACCCCCTGCACAATAGTCTAGAGCATAGCGCTTGTCTTCATCTGCGACGCGATCCAAGAGCTTCAGTCTGGGGAGAGTTCAGGATCGAAGGGACCGGGATCAAAGGGCATACGCAGCCACATTCTCGAAAGATTCCGATCTCATCAGATGGGGAAGGTCTTACTAAGACGGCTCTTTTTTAAACCCACAGGCTTCCGAGAAAGTTATCCGGTTAGTGACCCTGAACTATCGCGGTACAATGTCACCTGGTCTCTGGATTCATCGCTAGCTCTGCGGAAGCAGGCGACAGCCGGCCTTTGATAGAGTGTTTCCTTTGTGTACAGTCATGACTTGGATTCTTGGACCCGCCACCATCCTGATGGCGGCAGGTCTCCATGCTACACACTCGGATGAAGGTACCATACTGAGAAGCGGCAGTTTAGCCTCACTCATATCAGCTGAGATAGCCCACATCGCCGCAATCTACCGATGCTCAACCATGGCAGACCTCCGGGTCTTTTCGGGTCGCTCTCTCGAACAATGGGGGAAACTCTTTGTTTCTTGGGTGTCACATAACAATATCTGGCCCGTGTCTTTGAGGAGCACCACTTGAACCATGAAAGCACCCCGTTGTATTAAAGGGCAACAGAAATCCCCGGCACGTTATCTTCAACCGCTGTCATTCAGGGCCCTGGTCCATACTCATCACGCGGTGTGGGCAACCACTTCAGGCGAACTACACAGCATGCCTTTCCGTTCCAAGTTCATCAAGCTGTGTGGACGCCCTAAACGCGCTCGCTCGCCTTGTCCAACCACGCCATCGCCCGAACCTCCGCGGCCAGTCTGCTACCTCCTTAGGTTGCCAAGAGAGCTCCTCTTCCTGTGCGCCCTCTATCTGGATCAACAGAGTCTGAGTCGCTTCATCCGGACCTGCAGGTTCACTCATCAATTTCGAGCCGACTTTGAAAATCAATCTCACCGTGCGCCAGCCCACACGTATGCCGAGTGGTATACCTATCGCCGTGAGGTTCAGGAATATGGTGAGATCTTGGTGATGAAGCCCTCCGACCCTCCTGAACCTCTGAGGAACGCCGTGATCGAAGGGAACTACCATCTGGTGAAGCTCTTTCTCGAAGACCATGTGGACCCTAATTCCTGGGATGTACGCGGGTCTTACATGCTGAACCTTGCTGCACAGAAACATCAGTACGACATCGCCCAGCTTTTACTGCAATTTGGCGCGGACCCCAATCGTGGAGAGGCGCTTACATTAGACCTTGCCGTGGAAGACCGTTTGATACCCCGGTCCCAGTCTGCTCTCTGGTTCGAACTTCTGCTTCCATATGGGGCAAAGTTCAAGAAACGGAAAACATTGGTCTGTCTTTGGATGACGGAAAGGGGTGACCTCTTGCGACAAGCCTCCCGGAACGTATTGGATATGGCTGACGTATATGACACCCTTGAAAGGGAACACGGAAGGAATCGTGACGCAAATGAGACACACGCTATTCTAGAGCGCCGCAGGCGTGCATTTGTTCGTGAGATACTGAACGTGGCAATGCCCTTGTCAACATCTCGGCCGATGCTTGAGGCGCTCATAGACGTGGACTCCAGGGTTTTGATGATGGACGTGGAAGGTTGTACCTTGTTCGATTACGCTCTCCAGTGTAAACTCTTAGCCTTTGCTTTGAGCTTACTGGAGAGGGGAGTTACCAGCAGGGTCCCGGAGCTGAGGAATGCTGTGAGAGAGGGGAATAAATGGCGGGTCCGGAGGTATATGAATGCCCCCAGCGCGTGGTTTAATCGCTCAGAGACGTGGCAGTCATCCGCTTGGGAACTAACATGGAGGGTGAACGAAATGCGGGAGGAATTGAGCTACTATTGTCTATGAATTATCTCGTGAACTAATTGACTGGAAGACAGACTTTATACATATTGGCCGGATGCTCGGTACCAGACATTTCCCTATCCCTGGGCAACCTCCTAGTTTGGTGCTTTCTTTCCTTTATGGCACTGAAAGTCGTCTGCATAGCCTCTGACTCGTCGTCACCCTTTTCCCTGATTTCACCACCACCACCACCACCACCACCACCACCACCACACTACGATCAGGACCTTCTGATATCCAAATGGCCCCCAATACCCATCATTACCGATATATTGTCCTATGTGACTAGCGCAAATCTACCGGGGGGGTAAGTCATCATCATATGATTTGATATCCTTGGAATCGTCCATATTGTTGAAATTAAACACGCCATTCCGATACGGCATGTTGGGTGTGTATATGACTATATGTGGGTTGAGGTTGACTTCAGGTGTAGATGTGGGGTGGGGTTTGGGATGTGGATGTGGATGTGGGTATCGGGGTGAGGTGGGGATGGTGCTGTGTGGGGTAAGTTTTCATACTTCAATGATACTATGGTTAGATTGGGTGGGAGTACACTGTACGGGAGAATGCAAAGGATGGTTGGTGGCCATCGCGTAATTCAGAAGAGAGATTGGATTGGATTAGGATTATATGATATTTGTATATGAGATCTCGGAAGAAGAGTTGATCTATAATCTCGGGTTCTGTCCGTATGAATGTCGTGTCGAGTCAGGATCGAAGGTCTTCATTCTGACATGCTAGGAATATAAGATGGGATGGTAGTCTTGACAAAGAATCTCACCCATACATATGCTCTAAATAATCCTGCTCGAATTCATCGTCCGGGTCCGGGTCCACCCGCTTCGTCTTCTTCGTCTTGATCACATCGGTAATGCTGACCAATTTCGAATAGAAATCCGTCACTTTCGGATGAACCATGACCTTGCGGGCTTCGAATCGCGTAACCTGAAGGCCTGCTTTCGAGGTCGCACGACTCAACGCCACATAGGCCTGACCCTTTTCAAACACGCGGCCCAGATCCACCTTGACCCGTTGAAGGGTCTGGCCCTGGGCCTTGTGGATGGATAACGCCCAGGCGAGAATGAGGGGCACTTGTTGGCGTTGTGCCTGGACCTCACCGTTGGGCAGCTCGATCTTCCAGGTCTCCGGCTGGCAGAGGAGATGGCGCTCCGTTCCGTCGGGTTGGACGAAGCACACGAGGGGCCATTTCCGGGTGACGGTGACCCCGCCGCCGTCTTTGTTGGGCATGGGTTTGAGCTTCTTGCGCGCTCGGGCCATCATCTCGTCGTCGTCGCTGTTGTCGCCGGGCCCCGCCCCGGAGAACGCGTTCTCGTTCTCGATGTAGTAGTCGAAGGTGGCTTCGTCCATGAAGGCGACGACGCGGCCGATGGAGCCGTTGACGAGGGTGTCTTCCATGTTTTTGATGAGCATGACTTGGGCGCCCTTTTTGAGGTGGATGATGGGCGGCGCCATGCAGTTGGCTAGCAACCGTTCCCGAAATTGTGCGTCTTGAATGGTGCCGGAGTCGACGGCCGTGAAGGTCATCATTTCGCCGGAGAGACGGGTCATTCGGGCGCTGTTGGCGCTTTCGACTTCTTGGCGGGTGGGGAACCTGGAGATGTGAGCTGGTATCGGGCTTGATGGATGGGGGGGAGGCTTACAGTTCGGTGGCCTCGAGGGAGTCATGGAAGTCGAGCGGTCGAGATAGTTGTTTGAAGGTTTCGATGGTGCGCGGGCTGATCTTGCCCAGTCGCAGCTCGTTGAGCATGTCGGCAAACTCGGGGTCTCGTTGACGGAAAATGTGGGTGAGGAGGATGGTGTGTTGGATGGCGGTGTTCCATGTCGCTGCTGCGAATGCGAATTTGGCCTCCCGGTTGCCCCCTTCTGGCACGGGAGGCAGTTGGAAGAAATCCCCAGTGACGACGAGTTGAATGCCCCCGAATGGACGACCGTTGTTGCGGATCCGTCGTGCTATCTCCTCCAACTTGTCGAAGAGATCCCCGTCCACCATGGACACCTCATCAACGATCAGCACTTTGGTGCGCATCCAGCGATTTCGGGCCTTTTGATTCTTCTTGATCTAGAGGTTGTTAGTGCTACTACATGGTTTGGTTCATGCCGATGCTAACCTTCTTCACAAGCTCCGGAACAGGCTCTTTCCCCAACCCGATGCCCGCGAAACTGTGTAGAGTCACGCCTTCAATGTTGCAGGCGGCCAGGCCGGTGGATGCCGTCACTGCCACCCGGTCTGGCTCTTTCTTGTACTTATCACGTAGTTTCTTGATGATCTCTCGCATAAGCACCGACTTGCCCGTTCCAGCAGAGCCTGTGAAGAAGATACTCTTGCCTTGCTGTACCACGGCATCCAGGACATGGCGCTGTTCATCGCTCAGGAAGATCGACGCCACCTTGGGGCGAGAGTTGTGTAATTGGCCGTTTGCTTGAGCTTTCAGATTCTTGTTCTGCCGACGCATCTCCCGTTGCTCATCTTTGATCGTGCTCGCCGTTTTATTCCACGGGGCGGTTTGCTTTGGACGCACTGGCGTTTGCGGTTGGATAGGCGGAGCTACTGGCGCTGGTGCCACTTCGTCCTTCAGCCATGGTAAGTTCCGAGGCTTCCTGGGTTGTTGGTAGTGAGAGGGGGGCGAGGAAGACCATGGATACTGGACGCTGCTGGATGGCGGGATGTTGTCATCAGGTACCGGAGGCAGATCGGGGTACTTGATTTCCGGCAGATCTTTCGAAGGTGATGTTAAGTCGACGATCGATATCTCTTCGTCTTGCATGGATGCGCCCTGGAGAGCCGGGTACTCGGCCGGTTCCGGTTTCCGAACGCTTGGTCGTGTGATCGGAGCCGGGGGAATGAACGGGTCAGGTTCTCCAAAGTCCAAGTCGTCATCATCATCGAAATCGTTTTCATCAAAGTAAACCTCACTGTGGAGGGACCCCAAGTTGGACTCTCGAGTGGTGGCGGCCATCTCGATCTTGCGCTTGACACCCCCGGACGGCGGGAGAGATTGTTTTACTGCAGCGCCCCCATGATTGCGCGTCAGAGTGGACTGCAGCGGGGTCGCTGAGGCTGCGGAGTGGTCCTTGACGGCCTTCTTGAACATCACCGCTTCGTCCCCAGCCAGCGAAGTTCGCGATGTTGAGAATCTAGAGGCAAGATGCGACTTCAATATGGGCCCATTTGAGAAGATCTGACGGAGTATACCTGGGGAGTGGCGCTGCCTCGGAAGGTACATATACTTTGAATTCGGAGAGTTTGAAGAAGAATTCGCCTCGCTGATCGTCTATCATCAACTATCAATTAGAAGACCGCCCGCGCCGTCGACGGCGCGTTTGGCGATACGCGCCGCGCCACCCTCACGTGATGCCGATAAGGGCTCTCCTGCTGTGCCCTAACCACGTGCTGCGGGGCCTTCTATAGTTCCGATGTTGAGTCACCTACAATGGCTTGGTGTAGCTTATGTTGACGTCTTTAAAATCAGGGTGCGTGTGCTTCATATCGGAGCCGTATGGATTCTAGGTATAATATGTCGAAAATGAAGCTTTCTTTTGGCAGAGGAAGGCCCTCTTAACATCCTGGCGCTGCAGAAACTCGCAATTCGACATATGGAGAACTGGCTGATCATTTGAAATTGTCCGTAACATGGACATTACACTGGCAGAACCGTGATTGGAGGAAATATAAACCATGGTTCACATGCAATAAAAAGAGCACTCATAATTGGCTCTTCATTCGCTGATGAGTGCATGACTAGTAGACAAACAGACCCTTAGCTCACAATAAGACAATCATCACTCTTCCATACTAATGCTGTGATCAAGTCTGTCCTAGCCTCGATATACATTAGTATAATGACTAGATTTTGATACCGCTTTTTAAATCTTGACATATACACCCGCGCTAACCACTCATAGCATCATTCGGACAATACCTGGAAATTCCCATCATACAATTGGACGGACTACAGAACGCCTTAGCACATGCTGTATGCACTATGCAATACGTGCAGTAGCCTATAATACTTCGAGAACCTTCTCTGTAAAAAACATGCCTGTCATGACAACTCCATTTCCTGTCTGCATGACGGGGGAAAACATGCGTCACGTGACATCGTATAATCGAGACGCGCTCCGCGCGGAGGTCCGAAAGTGAATCTGCAAACCGGCGCGCGACTCCAGCCTGTTGCTGCCAATCATGAAGCATGGCAGAGAAGGATACCTCAAGTGAGTACTGCTACCATATAGGTCAATCAAGGGAATCGGCTGACTCTCTCCAGACAAGGAGCGTCCTCTTGCGGGGGTGGTCCTCTGCTTTACCTCCATCCTACCAGAGCAGCGGGTTCGTAATACCTTACCTCTCTTTCGCCGTTGCTTTCAAAGAAGGCAGCAAGATACTGATGTTACGGTCGCGTTAGTCTGAACTGGCGATTGTCGCCAGCCAGATGGGTGCAACCCACAAGTTCGACCTTACCTCCGACGTTACGCATTTACTGATCGGCGAACTCAACACCCCCAAGTACAAGTTTGTCGCGCGCGAACGGGCTGATGTGACCGTCTTGAAACCAGAATGGGTCGAAGCCGTTCGTCAGTCATGGATGCAAGGTGGGGATACAGATATTCGCGCGCTGGAAGAGCAGTATAAGTTCCCGACGTTTGCAGGGCTTTCGATCTGCATCACGGGGTTTGAGGATAGTGAGTAGGGAATACCGGGCGTGAATGAAGCATTCGGGACGGGACTGACGCGTTGGCTTAGTGGCACTGCGGAATCACATCCAGAATACGGTCACTGCCCACGGTGCGGAGTTCCGAAAAGATCTCACGAAGAATGTCAGCCATCTGATTGCGAGGAATACGGAGGGTGAGAAGTATAAGTTCGCCACCCAGTGGGGTATCAAGATTGTCACGGTGAAGTGGTTCTCCGACAGTCTTGAGCGAGGAATGGTCCTCGAAGAGACTCTGTACCACCCTCTGTTGCCGGAGGAGCAGCAAGGCGCGGGTGCCTGGAATCGATCGCTGCCTGCTCCGAAACCGAAGGCGCCGGAGGGCGAGAGTCAGACGAATTCTAGGCCGAGGAAGTTGCGTAGGATCGCTAGCGCTAAGCTGGGTGACCAGAATGAAGGGATCTGGGGCGATATTGTCGGCATGGGATTCGACAGCAGCGAGCCGAAGCGACCCGGAGAAAGTCAGCAAAGGAGTCAGACTTTGGTCAAAAGTGCATCACTTCAGGAATCCCGGTCCTTCGCCAGCGAGACCCCCTTTGCAGAGGTGCAAGAGCCTCGTCCGCAGCCCTCGGAACCACCTGTGGAGCGTCGCGACGGCTTCCTAGACGGCTGTTACTTCTTTATCCATGGGTTCTCCTCCAAGCAGGTACGTGCGCATGACCTTTGTTTTTTCACCTTCTGACTTCTGAAGACCAATGTGCTACGCGATCATCTTGCCTTCAATGGAGCACAGTTGGTGAATTCCATGAGCGAATTCTCTCGACCCGACATACCCAAACGGGGCCATGGCTTGTACACAATTGTGCCCTACAAGTTGCCTCGCGCACAGGTTCCATCCACCGACGATCTAGCTTTCGAGTGTGAGATCGTAACGGACATGTGGCTGGAAAGATGCCTGGACGCGAAGACGCTGGTGCCGCCAGAAGCCCATATCGCCAACACCCCGGTGCCTTCGTTTCCCATAAAAGGTAAGTTCTCCTTCATTTTCCCTAGACGTTGACTTACGAGGATAGGCTTCGCTGGAATGAGAGTCTGCTCGACTGGCTTCTCCCGTATCGACCTTCTCCATCTATCGAAATTGGTCAACCTGATTGGTAAGTTCCCTAACCAGCTTGCAATTCCAGATCTAACGTCTCTAGGTGCCACATACCACGAGTACCTGACTCCCAATGCCTCCATCCTGATATGCAATGGCTCTGGCTCCGTGAACCCCGACAAGCTACGACATACCCAAGAATGGGGTGTCCCAGCAGTCTCCGCCGACTGGCTGTGGTCCTCCATCCGGACCGAACAGAAACAGCCAGTCGACCCATATCTGATCCAAAAACCACCCACGCAAAGCAGAAAGTCTCTGGAACCGCGAGCCGGCTCTCGCCCCGAGCAACCACCCCCTCCCAATAATAACGAGCATCCTACGCACTCACGCCCCCGACACGAACACGAGCAACACAAACCTAATATCACACACTCCGCAGCCCCCAAACCTATCTCCAAACCATCCCCTACCAAAGACCCCAAACCCTCTTCCACCACCACCACCACAACCACAACCTCCTCCCCCCTCAAACGCAAAGCCTCCGACCAACAACCCTCCACCACCTCCACCTCCACCGCCCAATCCGCCCTCACCCAAGCCGTCAACGGCCTCTTCAAACACGCCCCCGTCTCAGGCCCCGACGACCGCGATCGCCAGCGACCCCGTGGCCGTCGTCCCCTCCTCGGCCGCGCCCCTTCCTCCCTCGACCAACCCAAACACTTCTCCTTCTCCCGCGCCAGCTCCATCGACACCCTCAACGAAGACGGCTGCGGCAGCGCCCTCGACTCCATCCCCAACTCCACCACCACCACCACCACCACTACCAACACCATCGACCACATCCCCTCCCTCTCCCGCACCCACAGCAGCCGCTACGAATACCACTACCCCGACCACGGCCTCTACCCGGACGAAGACGACGAGAACGACGCCCCCGCCATGACGCAGCTCGATTACGAAGACCCAGACGCCGTCGCGATGCGGGAGAAATTCCTCCACCAGGCGGGGAAGGTCGTCGAGAAGAAAAAGTCCTCGGATGGGGTTGCGGAGGGGAGGTTGGTTCCGGGGTTGGATAGTAAGGTGTGGAGTGTGGGGCGGAGGACCAGGAATGCGAATAGGGTTTTGGATGATGTGTAGGGGAGGGGGGGAAGCGTTTGTTTCGATGGTTCGGGGTTTGTTTTTGTTTTTGTTTTTGTTCTGGTTTTAACGGGGTTGGTTTGGGTAGGGGTTGGTTGGTTGTATGTCCCTTTCACTATTTTGGGTGCGAGTCTGTGATTGGGACAGGTTTGTTGGCTGTGGTGTGTTGGTACTAGGCATTGATTGATTGCATGATGTGATATAACATGACATGGCGTGGCGTGGTGTGATATAGCATCTTGATTAGCCTCCCGTTTCAGGAACCGGAGGCGTGTGCTTTTGGTACCTATTGGGATTGGATACTCGTTATACAAAAACTCTCTTTCTCCATTTCTCTCGGAGGGTGGGTCAAGTAGATAAGGATCAATTGATTAATCACCTGATCTATTTCCAATACTACCTCAACCTCAGTCAACTTATCAAGACACATCAAGAATACCATTACTGGAAATTGCAAAAACCATTACCCATAACACTAAACTGACTAATAGGCACTGCCTGAATCTATCGAAGTACTAGTACGGAGGAGAACAATAACGATTAGTAGACGAAGGGCCACGATCAGGATCATGATCAAGTAATGCGATTCAGCTCAACGCCAATGCACGCCAGAATCCACTAACTACTCGATCATCCATCAGCCCGTCTTCAGAGCAGATGGATGGGGGTTGATGAATGATCAAAAGACAGCAGCCTGTTGAAGACAATGAGAATAGGGGTAGTAATAAGGGAGGTACTGAAGAAGGTGAGAAGTGATGTACAAGATGGAGTATTTCGAGGCACAAGGGAATGGGAAGGAAAGCGCCATGCACGATCAACACTTTCTCTCGAACGAATAGGAAATAGTAGAGTTCGTACAGCGTCATTATTTTTTATACAGGGAGGTCAAATGAAAGAGATTGGATTTAGGGGACGGGCTCAGTTATGCGTGGGCGGCTAGGGCGCCCGGGAGGGGGGCATCCAGGTCGATGTTGTCCACGGAGGTCCGGTTCTCGCCGCTCTCGCGGAACAGATTCGAGAAGTACTTGCAGGCCGCTTCGCTTTCGTGCTTGGTCTTGCTGACTTCGTGCTTGCGTCGGCCGAGGTCTTCGATGTCTTGGGCGAGGCTTGTTTGGAGGTTTCCGGCCGGGAGGCGCAGAATGCGGCGGACTTCGGAAGAAATGCGTGTGGCGTTGGAGTGGACGTAGTCCATCTCGGAGAGGGTGGCGGCAAGCTTGCGCGAGAGGCGAGGAGGGAGGGTCGTCGGGATAGACGAGACCATCCATGCGGCAGTCAAAACGGCTGATTCAGTTAGCTGACATTCAAGAAACAAAGGGTAGACAGGAAAACTCACCAACTGCCATGACACCAGGAATGAACAGGCGACGCAGATTGTTCGGCCCCAGGAACTTAGCAGCGCTGAACACGCTGTCAATCCAGCTGGCTCCACCAAAGGCTCGGCCTCCAAGCACAGTCACGGCAGTCATAGCCATGCCTGTACCGGCCACCTTCTCTTGCCGCTCCCAGATGCCCGAAATGTCGAAGAAGTCCCAGAGTTCCACCTCCGTGTGGACTTGCCGGGCGAGAGTGTGGCGACGACTGCGGCGGAACATCATATCGGCGCGGAAGTTCAACGGGGCAAACTTGTCTTCTCCGACGTGGAGGAGACCGATGTTCTGGATAAACCCGACGCCCTTCACCGTCTTGTCGCGAGCGTAGTCCTCACAGTCGGTCACGGACGCCGCGATCTGCTCCAACATGGCCACCTTCAGGTCCTCGGCATACTGGAAGGCGGAGAAAACGCCGGGGTATTCAACACCCAGGTCGGCTTCCGAAACACGAGCGATGGTTTCACCCAGAGTAGACCGTGTGTGGTTGTAGACATCATCGCAAGACTCGTCGACGAGCTTTTCGACCTGATCACCAATCTCAACCTTCTTCTTCTTACCCTCCTCGTATGCCGGTTCCAGCTCCGCCAGCTCATCCGTAACACGCTTAAGCTCCGTCTGGGCGACGTCGCGGTTCACCGAGGCCAACGAGTTGATATCTGCGAGCAGGTTCAACAGATAGGTCCTGGCCGGAGCAAGCTTGGAACGGGAGCGCTTCTCGAGAACGAAGCGCCGCAAAGAGCCCTCCAGGTTCTCAAAGTCCTGGATCTTCTGCCTCTCCTTGCCCTTGCCCTTATCCTTTCCTTTAGGCTTATAATCCTCATCATCCGAATCATCATCGTCACCACCACCACCGCCCGAGCTCTCAACCGAAACGGGGGGTGCGACAGGGATAGCATTACTCGAAACGAAGTGCACAAGCTCGGCCGCCTCCTTGTAGGTGCGAGGGCTGAGCTTGCCGATTTGATCCAAGATCATCCGCTCACAGCGCTGCTTGTCGCGGATCTGATCGAAGCCGTTCACAACAATAAACATATAGGCTTTCTCATGAGCAGCATTAAGAATAAATTCCTTGGCCGAAAGAGTGAAATGGTTTGCCGCAGAAACCACGAAAACGACAACATCGATCTCCTCTTGTCGGGCAAAAACCGCCGTCGTCTTCAGCGAGTCCGAGTTCAGACCGGGAGCATCGATCAGAGCAATATCCACCACGCCGTTGTTGAGAAGAGATTCGTCGATCGTCCGCACGTCCTTCACGTAGACCTTGCACTGCATGTACTTGGAGTTATCGATGACAATGTTCTCCAGCTCATGAAGCCCATACACATCGTAGGTACTCTCGTCGTTGCGGTTGTAATGCACGTCCTTGTGCACGGCATGGACTTCCTCGACACCACTGTTCTCCCGAGCATCGAGAACCTCACAGAAGATACTCGTGCAGGGTTGCTGGTCCTCCGGGAGGACCTTGCGACGCAGCAAAGCGTTACAAAACGTCGACTTTCCTGCGTTCAGATCACCAGTGATCAAGACCTTGCTAGACGTGTCCTCAATTCGATCGCGCAGCGACAGAAGATGCTTAATGCTCTGACTGATCTTGCCATCCAACAGCGAGGCAATCGATGCCTTCTCCAGCGAGTGTACCAGCTCGGCCTGCGACAGAGCACCCAGCTTCAAATCCAGCTTGAGAATCGAAAACTCCTGAGCGATCTGAGGGCTCATCAACCTCGGTTCCGACGGGACGTGACGCTCCGCGGCAGCACTCGATTCGGCCAGATCCTCGCCACCGGTCATGGTGGCGGCGCGTCTGATCGCACCGGGACGGGGGAAGTCCTCCGCATCCGCGCTCGCATCTCCGAAATACGACTGTCTCTTCTGCAACGCGGGCTTGGGTACGGGGGAGCCGGGGGCGCTCTGAGCGGAGGGATAGTGGGCGGGCCATTGGCGGTTCATGTCCTGGAGTTCCTTAAGGGTTTCGATGGTGCGCGAGATCGCACGAGCGAGCTTAGTCCGGTTCGAGTTGCTGTAGATTCAACACGCCCGTCAGTGTTTGCGCCAAAGATAATCCCATGCGGAAACCAAACCACATACTATAATAATTGATGAACATGGCTAGCGACGACTTGTCTCTCGTGCTCCGCTATAGTATCAAATTCCCCAAGTCAGCTACCTCCTATAACCAACTCGCATAAAAAAAATCCACCAAGACAGGCGACAAACCAGCCGGATTCCACTGCCCCAAATGCGTAGGGGTATGCATAGGCGTGGGTCTATCGACCATCAAATCGGCCCTCCAGTCGGCACCAGCATCACCATCCATCACACTCCCACTAGGAATACTCCCGCCGTAGCCGGAGTCCTGATGCAGGGAGGCCATCAAAGCGGTCGCGGACTCGGAGGTCACGCCATTACCGACGGTCATGTATGCAGGCGGGGGCGTCGGAAACATCGAAGTGCTCTCGTTCGCGGGCGAACGCTCCTCGGGCGGCGGCGGCGGTGACGGAGGATATCTGGACGAACCCTCGCCGGCAGAGGAGGCGCCTTGGCCGGGGAAATACTCCTGACTCATGGCGATGGAGACGTGGATTGCATGGGCCGGAGAGGTGGAATCACGAAGCGGATTAGATCGAAGGGGGGGAAGGCAAGCAAGCAAGTAAAGTAAATTGTCAGCCGGTGACGCGAGAGGGAAAGGCAAAAGTTCCCAGGGAAAACCCGAAAGGGGTTTGGTGGGTTTGTTTGGTTTGTTCGGGATTTTCGGGGCCTCTGCATGTGACATTCCATGCTGTATGGTATCGTATGGCCGGGGGGTATGGTAAGTTAACTATCGTATGGTAATTGATGTCACTGCGGATGGAATGGGACCAGATAGTCGACGCCTAACCCGCATCTCATCTATCATTGCCTCCCCTCGACTTCTTCCTTCTCCTCCGTCACGCAGCTCGCTCAGCTCCAGGCTGGATGTGATTACAGCCTGTAGGAACAGTAGTATCTAATCCCTTATCCCCGGTCCTTCTGACGACTGCTGAACGGTGTCGATCATCGCCCACCATGAACGTAAGTCTATCTGATCCCTTCCCCCCTTCCCCTCTACCTCGCGAAGACAACAATTAAACCCCCATAGATCGTCGAATGGGCCTTCGGCAAGCGAATGACCCCCGCCGAGCGTCTCCGCAAACACCAACGAGCGCTCGACCGAACCCAGCGCGAACTCGACCGAGAACGAGTGAAGCTCGAGAACCAAGAGAAGAAACTAGTCCAGGATATCAAGAAGAGCGCGAAGAATGGCCAGATCGGTGCTTGTAAGATCCAGGCGAAGGATTTGGTTCGCACGCGGAGGTTGGTTCCTCTTCCCCACTAATCGCCTCAGGTAATGGGGCTGGTGGTGATTGGATTGGGTTGGTGGTGCTGATAGAGAATTAGGTACATTCAGAAGTTTTATCAGATGAGGACGCAGTTACAGGCCATTTCGTTGCGGATTCAGGTACGTCCTATGGGTATTCGTGGTTAGGATGATTGGGTGGGTGAAGGCTTACATGCATGGCGGGCTAGACGGTACGGAGTAACGAACAGATGATGCAATCGATGAAGGGGGCGACGATGCTATTGGGGAGTATGAATCGCCAGATGAATCTGCCAGCGCTGCAACGAATCGCGATGGAATTTGAACGCGAGAATGATATTATGGATCAACGACAGGAAATGATGGATGATGCGATTGATGAGGCGACGGGGTTGGAAGGCGAGGAGGAAGAAGGGGAGGATATTGTGAAGGAGGTTTTGGATGAGATTGGGGTGGACCTTAGCCAGGCGGTTAGTGTTCCCTTCCCGGTCGAGACTGACTCAAGGATTGGATGGGATTGGACTGGATTGGATTGGATGCATGCTGACATTTTACTTCTTACCCTTACAGCTGGGCGAAACTCCCACGGATATACAGAAGACGGCTGTGGGTGAGACGAGGGTGGCGCAACCTGTTGGGGCCGGGGGCAGTACGAGTGATGATGACCTGCAGGCGAGACTGGATAGTCTTCGTCGGTGATGATATGATATGTCTCTCGGACAGTCTATTTATTCTATTTCTTGTTTCGCGGTTCTGCATTTCGTTCCTCCCGGGGTTCTGGTAACTGGTTTGCATCAAGTCCGGCAGCAATTTCATTTCTTAACTATACAGGCTATCCTTACTCTGACAATTAGTGTTCCATATGTGCTGGGTGAAAGATGTTAACAGGCAAGGGCTGACACCGCCCAGCTGTGGCTTTGGTCTAGTTGGCAAGTTTCGTGACTGCTTAGACAAGGTTACCCTGCCCATGAGCGCTGATATCACACCCGTGGATGGATTACAACTAAGGAGTAGGGCTGGGAATCATGTACTGCAACCGTGAGTCCCAGTGCTCGTGTGTTCGATGTCTATAAACACGGCCTGCCTGAGTCGGCTACGACTCAACTATCTATCTGACGGCCGCCGAAACTCTTCAGCGCTATGATAGCTCCACTGACCGAACCAAGTGAACGACGCCATCTCCTCGAGGGTCGGTCGCTGTTGCGGGTCCTTTACAAACATCATCCGCAGCGCATCCACGCAATCCTGGGACAGGTTTTCATCAATCGGGAGATCCTTGTTGATGATTCTGCTGCGTCGCTCTTGGACCTTCCGCATTCGCAGGAATGGCTCCGCACCGTCCAGATAGTTGACGATCCCTCCGATCCTTTCGTCCCACTCTTTCTCCTCCCAGGGGACAAACCCGTGGAGCAGCTCGTAGGTGATGGCGGCCAGCTGCCAGCGGGTAAGTCGGCGGACGTCGTGTGGCAAATCGACCCGGGTGGGCCAACCTGGGCTGTGCACACTCTCCCTGGCCCAGTGACTCTTGGTGGATTCCAGGGCCAGCTCGGGAGTCATGAACTTCTCATAGAAGGGAATGTAAGTGGCAGTCTCCTGCCAGAAGTCTGCGTCCCTCAGGCCGAAATGAAGTAGCCCCAGATCTATCATCTTAGCCTGTTCACTCGGGATCGGGTCAGCAATAATGTTTAGAGCGGGATGGAAGTGGAAACCAAGCGGGGGATCTTACATTCAGCTGTTCGTCGACCAGGTAGTTATTATGGGAGATGTCGGTGTTGCACAGGCGCATGTCTTGCAGATAGGCCGTAGCTTCGAATAGGTGAGATGACACCTTGCAAGCCTGGATCTCGGCGAGGCTGGTTTTCTTGCGATTGAGAAGCTTGGCCCCATTGAAGGCATGGAACCTATTCTCCGGCCTCAGCCAGTCCCATACCGAGGCATTCTCGTGATAAGGCCGATTCTGGGCCTCCTGGTCGACCTGGGCTTCCATCACCGTCGCACTGAAAAACTGGTGCGAGTACACCGAGTCCAGCGACGGGAACTTGTCGCAACCGTCCACCAGAAGCAGAACCAAGGCCTCAATCGGGAGGTAGCGGAGCGTTTCCAGCTGCGCATCGTATAGAGGAGCCACGTGCGGGCTCCGGGCCGACCCATCCAGGAGAGGGTTCACACAGGTATTGATGGTGAACAGAGGCTCCACCTTGATCGCATAAAGTTGGTTGCTGTCATCATCTCCTATAGCTCAGGTCAATAAGCGACGAGATTGGGCCATGGGGTACTGGATACCCACGCTTATGTGCTAGGAAGACCACCCCAAACGCTGTGGGTGTCGGTTAGCTGGGCTCAGGAACGTGAGGCGAGCAGAACACATACTTCCGATACCGATGATGCCACGGACCATAAAGTCAGTCAACAGTGTTGAGCACAGATTGGCATGGTACGTAGCAGCCGCCTCCATCTGTCCACCATACTCAATTACTGACTGCGGTTGAAGATGTATCTGGTACTGGTACTCAAGGCTGTCTGTTCGGTTCACACCACCAGCCAAGTGACTACATTTGGAGACCTCCTGCCCCGGTCTGGACGCCATGCTGGCCGAGTAGCGTCGTGTGAGTACCTCATGAAGCCGCGGGTGACTAGCGGCCAGGAAGCTCCCTGGGTCGAGGAGATCATGGATGGATGTTGCTAGGCCGGTCCATCCATAGGTCCAGTCGAAGTAAAGCTCATGTTCATCGGCTGGCATGTAAAGCTGACGGAGGGTCAGGAAGAGACTGAGGAACTCGGAGCTCCAGTCCAGCGGGGCCGGATTGATGACCGCCATTATAATTAAATACCTGCGCTGATAATGAGGGGGAAATCCACGCAGGAGGAGAATAGCGATAATGCTCCCGTAATCGATGGATACCTCGAATACCTCTGAGCGACCAGAGATATATAGTAGTTTCCCTGGAGGTCGCTAGAATGCTGGATAAAGCCCGTCCACGGGGCAAGTTTATCGGTTTCCATTGGCGTAGAATAAGGATTTTGTCTCGGATTGTACCTCCCGTGTCACACAAGAAACAGCGCCTGAGGCAGAGTCATTGTTCGGTTTCTTTCAGGCGCGCAACAGCCTCTGTACAGACAATTGGAGAAGAAAGCCCCTTGTGCGAACCGACGGATAAAGACGCCCGCCTCTGCCCCCAGTACTTCTAGCGATGTCCTCAGGAACGGACCGGGTCGGATCCAAGGCATTTGCCCGCGACTTTCCTTCCACTGGAATCCAGGCAGAGGCGTCTGATTCTCGGGGCTGGCCGGTAGGCAGGCAGCCCAGGCGGGTTCAGAGCAGCCCAACGGGGGATTCCACGGCTGCCTGCTCTCGCCCATCGCTTCACCCTGCTATCTCTTTTTTTGTCCCCCATTTTGCCATGATACTATAGATATCCAACCTCACGACTGGGAGGGTGCACTAGTGCATCAGCACCAATCACGGCCGAGCCAGCTGCAGGCCAGGCCCAGCTGAGACCCGGAACATCTGCAGCAGTCCGCCGTGAGTCACCGGCCCTGGGCCTATCAGCAAGGCCGAAATCCATGTCTCCTCATGGCTATCGGAGGGCGATGATGATATCCCCCTCCGGGAGTTGTAAAGGAGGGTGGAAAAGTACGGCCTTGATGCGGCCAGTCATGCCAGAGGGAGGAGAAGTTCTTTTGGATGACCATCATTGCATGCTGCACGATCGGGAGGCGAACCACCCAGTATGACGCGCTGCGCCTGCTGAAGGGACGGAGAATGCCATACATATTACATCCTGTATGTAGGGAAGTGGATTGATCCACTCTGCTTGAGGAGGACGGCAAACGACAGTGGACCGCCCGACGGGAGACGATGGAGGAGATACATAGATAGATACAAAGAAAGACAGCCGGGAAAGCAGCGAGAAACGACTTGAACAGAGCCACTGAGCCTTGGCTGCAGGTGTGTGCCATGGCCCAGGCCAATCAGCACTGTGGGAAGTAGAATCACCTGGTTGGGCCACAGCGCTGAATGGAGGTTAGGCTGCAGCGTTCCTCTGCTTCTCTGCTTGTTTCTTCATCCTCTTGCCGGCTGGATGATGGATGACTGCTCGATGCTTATCCGTCATCCCTCATCCCACCTCAGACGCTTCATCGTTTGTCGCCTGTCGGAGCATGTTGGGTGTTCTTACTGACTGCATCGCCCCCATCCATTGCGGCTGAGGAGCCTGCGATACGAAGTCTGCGCAAACACTCGACGAGTGGGCAAGTTACACCCATCAGAGATCCCAAAAGAATAAAATAAAAAAACATTGGATTTTTCGAAAAGGGGGGGAAGATGCCGGCGAGGGGGAGCGAATGGAGAGGCGACAAAAGTCTTGCCCGGGCTCTTCCTGGCGCCCTGCTAATTCCGTCTTGCGCAGCAGTCCATCATCATCGAGGGACCTGCGCGCTTTTCCCCTGGTCCTTCATATCGACTCCGCTTCTTGATTGCACCGTTCCCCGAGGTCACAAGCAAAGTTGCCAGTCGCTTCGCCGCCAGGAAATCCCGAGTCTTCTGGGGTCGGATGCGTTCTCGCACTGGGCATGCACTTCCCAAACCTAATGGCGAGGCAGAAAGCACCAGGGATCTTCGTGCCCTGAAACATTCTTACGCCTTGTTTTGCCGGGAACTCGCCGACTTTACAAGAATCCAACCGACCCCTCCGTGACCCTTCTGGCTCATTCGGAGATATAAGGATGTAAGATGCTTGCTCTTGACCCCGCCCCTCCCCAACCCCGTTTCCTCCGATCCCATCCTAGGCTCTTCTTTCTCCTGGGCTCCTGTTACTTCCTCCTCTTCTCTGCCGTGAGATTAACCGCTTCGCTCTCGCAGATCTTCCAACCGTCCGGCGACGGTGGCCGCAGCCTCTGTGCCCCCCCACAGGAACGGAGTATTACATACAGTATGGCGGTCATCAACCAGAACAACCTGGTGCCTCCTGCGCCGCCGACTCATCATCCAGCTGCTCGACCAGGTGAGGCCCCTCGTGTGGTGCAATCTGGCTCGCCACGCCCCATGAACCCCGAGTACCTGGTTCATCAGATGGGTCGACTGAATGTTCAGCCCGAGCGGCTGCTGGCGGCCACCCACCAAAGGCCAAAGGAGGCCACCACCCTTGAGGAGATCGATGCCCGCGCGCCATTCTACTACCTGGGGTACACTTTCTTCAAGGCCGATGCCCAGCCCGGGCACAAGTCCACCTGGAGCCAGGTCGGAAGGACGAAGATGACCCTCAACCAGACCGAACTGTTCAAGTTGGTGCACAAGCGAACCAAGAAGACTCCCATCGCTGAGCAATACCAGTCCCTGTCCAAGGTCAAGCGTGTGCATGTGGATAAGTTGATCAGTGAACTCCGGAAAAGCGACCCCCATTTCGAATGGACGTGCGTATATGTAAAGGAGGAAGAGAAACCAGTCAAGGGCAAGAATTCCCGCCGCGGTGATTATGAGACACTCTCCATGGATGTCATTATCATGAGGAAGGCTACAGATCTCGTGTTCCCCAAGATTTCTGTTGACGACCATGTCGACGTGGAGACCTTTTCGAAGCCTAAGGACAGGGTGCCTACACACATCCACAATCATCCATCGGACCCTGGATCCAAGCCGATGCCTCGGAACATGCAACCCAGTGAGCCATTGGTCGGACCTACTATCCATCAGGGGCCCATGCCACCGACCATCAATAACGTCCAGCAGCCACCGCCCGTCAGGTTCCATCCCCCACCTATCCAACCCCCTCAGGGATATCCGGGGTCAAGACCACATATGGCCCAGGGGCCTTGGCCATGGATGCACGGGATGCCAGCCGGCATGCACCCGCACCACCTGCCATCTGGAATGCCTGCTACTACAATGCATAGTTCTGCAGTCCCTATGTCGGCAATCCCTCGCCCTGCGATGGCCAGTTCTGCAATCCCTCGTCCTGCGATGTCTGGTCCTGCGATGTCTGGTCCTGCGATGTCTGGTCCTGCGATGTCTGGTCC